AGATTCAGCATAAATGCATTAATGTTTAACCAAACCACAGACCACTCAGGTATTTTCATTTCCTCCACACAAGGGAGCATGATGGGGCCCCAAGTGCTGGCCCATGGGGCTAGTGAGCCAGGCTGGCCCTGCTGTGGGGACCCTGCAGGGCAGTCACAGCCATTTCCCCAGGCTTCGCTTGGAAAGCTCTGATACAGCTCAGAAAGAGGGGAAAACCCCTCCCAGGCCTTCCCCACAACTCTTCCCTCTTTCCCCAAATCAGATGCTCTCCCACTCCCCAAAAGAAGATAAGAGGCAGCTCCACAGACTCAACAGGGACTCAGTCCCCAACCCAACGCCATCGGCCCTGCCCCGGGCCAGGTCTCCCCCTCAGGCAACCGCGCTGCCACTTGCAATCTTCTATTTCCAGCCCAAAGCTTGTATTACCATCGCTCTTCTGGCCCTTAACATTCTGGCCTTGTGAACATCTGTCCAGATAAAGTGTGGACCTTCATATTCCTGGACCAGGAGCTCAGTATTTGTTTTTCTAAGTAAAAAATATGCTCGCTGGTGTTAGTACATTGGCAGTGGTCACACATCAAACTAGCTGGGCACTGTTTGCTGCAGCATTTGGACAAGCATCTCTGGCTCCTTGCAATCTCCTGTGTGTAAATGTCATTTAATTGTCTAAGAAAAATCTGGCTGACCTTTCAATTACCAGTAATGGAATAAAAGCACTAAAAGACTGTACGTGACAGCCAGTGTCACCAAAGTCCCTTCATCTCCTTGTGCTGATTAGGAGAGCCACAGAAAATTCACACTCGGCTGCGTTTTTGGCATAAAGCTCAGAAAGAAACTCACTGGTAAAAGGCCCGGAACCAGGGAAGGGAAGGAACTGTCTCCCATCCTCTCTGTTCCTGTTTCCATAAAAGGAAAAATCCTTCCAGATCGAGGATTTTTGCTTACCTGGGAGAAAAACAAAATAAAACAAACCCTGGAGGATGGGTGAGTGCAGAGAAAGGTAGAGCTGTATGGACAATTCCTCCCTCCAAAGCAGAAAGGGGGCCAACACGAGGTTTACGCACTGCCCACAGCCCGTGAGCCCTTCCTTCCTTCCCGCAGTTCTCATCTCCCAGCTCCTCTGCCAAGCTCAACCACAACATTAGCTGCTGATCTGTTGGGTATCCCCTGGTTGCTGCCTGGTAAGAATGACACTTCATACCGTGGATGCTATCGCACAGCAACTTCAAACACGGAACCTAAAGTCTTTCCTAAATTAGCCGAGTTTCCCTCGCGCAGGAAGGGGTCAGGAAACATTTCAACTCCTTCCTCACAAGCAGTTCCTCACAAGTTGCAGCCCTGGCAGATAGAGACCTTCATGTCAGAGGTCACTGTTGTTAGGACACTATATTTCTGCGGAAGTGGTTATTTATATACCAGGCATATAGCACAGGCTCAAGACCTCGTAGCCTATTTTCAATACATGTATGTACTGAAATAACTGAAGGTAATTACAACATCTAGAAGCTTAAACTGTTAAGATCCATCTGAATTCAGTGATATCATCACAACGGTCATTTCCAAATTAACCAGCAACAGGTAGGTTCTTCCTACGGCTGCTGGTAATACGTTCTTATAGTTGCTTCACCTTCATAATAAGCTGGGACCGATCACAGTTACAGGAAACTTTAAAATAAGCTCTTTGGGTGCTCGTTATGGTCGCAAGTTCATTTAAGCTTGCTCAGACAGCCATTTCTTACGTGGTCCAGATTAAAGTGGCAAAATGAGTGAAAAGAAAATACAGTCACTGTGCTCATATAGGTCTTGCTCTTATACACACTTACACAGAGTCACACACTTAAGCCCACACTCGGTGTGTTCATCACTTGTTCCTTCCTTCTGCCTCTCAGTGACTAACACGGTGATGTTGTAGTTTCTATCACTCCTATTAGAGCTCCGCACTCTTGTTCCTTCCTTTTGCTTCTCAGTGATGAAAATAGTGACGTTGTGGTTTCTAGCACTCCTATTACGACTCCACTGTGCTGGTCAGCTATAATGTCTCATTCACGAGAAGGGTGGTTGAGAAAACATTCGGTCCCTGTGTGATGATTTCAACAGGGAAGTTCTGATCCTTGAATCCTTCCAAAAAAAAAAAAAAAGTCCTAAAGGGCAAACAAACATCTAGAACAAGTAACACCTGTCTGTAACTGAGCTTTCCTACACTCCTGTGTCCCCCATGGACTACCTGTTCCTCTTACTCAAGGCTTTTAATTCTCATTAACTCTGTCTAATGTTTTCTTTCACAATTGCCCATGCATATTCACTGACCTATCTAGCTCATTTGCACTTGCAAAGAAGAACTGGGAGGCAAAGTTTGAACCATTGCATAGCATCCATAGGTACGTCCATCCCTCCTCCCCGCGCTTTTTTTTTTACAGAATCTAATCCAAACAGGAATAAAACTGAGTTTTTCTTTTATATGCATTGTACTTTCAAGATCATTTGCAAGCAACTGCGTAGACACAGTGTATCTAAGTACAATGTCCCTAAGCAAATACTCCGGGTGCACATCCAAGTGTGGGCAGCTGCCTGGCTACACAATTAAGCTGATATTTGCTAATACAAAAAATAAAATAAAATAAAAAAGGTATGAAGAATGGCTTTATGTGGCATTAGACATTCAAGCCATGTAACTTTTAACTAAAAATAACAAAGATGATGACCTTATATACCAAAATTCCCAAGTGTAATGGAACATTTGCAGTTTCTACAAAAGCACCCGGAACTCTTCCTCTCTCTTCATGCAGACAAAAACACTATCAACACGCCTATCCAGTGTCACATTCTCTTCTTGCCACACAGTTACTCAAAGGGGGCTGATCCCCTGAAAATTGTGAATCTGATCCACACTTTTACTTTATTGGAAAAACTCTTTTGTCAAATAATCTATTTATTTAAAGTAGTTCAGAAAGCGCAAAATGTTGGGTATGGCAATCCAACCATTTTTAACTACTCAAACAACCACAACATTATTTTCTTCCCTTAGATCCTTCTCCAGCAGGAGAAGGCATATTCATATCCAGCAGGAGAAGGGGCAGCGGTGGCCAAGGATCCAGACAAACCCCATTAATTCCTCCTATCTGTAACCACATTCCTTTTCCCCCGGCTGTCCCAAGGTGCTCAGAAGGCCTGTCTGGCTCTGCACGAGGAAGGGCCCTCGTTACCAAAGCAGTTTTGAATACGCGCCCAGGTTTCGGGGTACAGGGTGTCACAAGGGCATGCCCTGGACTCCTGGAGCTATTTAAAGGCCAAGGCTCTGAGTGTGGAAGACATTTTTCTGCTAATTGCAGCAACTGGGTGAGTCAGTCGGGGACTCGGCTGACAGGGAGTCACCAGACCGGTGCTTTCCTGTGCATGGAGAGGCAGAAGAGCCGGAAGAGGCCACTGTCAAGAGGCCTTGAAGTGACCAGCGCTGGGACACGCCACTGCCACCACGCCGCTGTGCA